TATATATATATATATTTATAGTTCCACTCCTCAATTCTGATTGGTCAGCAGCTGTGTTTTATTCACAGTGAAGCACAGCTATGACTGCTTCACCCAATGGTTCTGGGTATCACTGCACAACACCCTTAGCAACCACCCTTAGTAACATAAACAATTAATACTATAGTCAAAACTGTTCCATGTATTATGTATTTCAGCAAAATGAACTGTTTGTTATTTATTTAATTAAGTATGAGTGACCCCTGCTGGTGTTGTGTTGCATCATTCATCTTTAATTTTGAGACCATGGCCTTCTCCCATCAAAGAAACTCTTCTCCTGCGGGGAAAAAGTTGACATGTGTGTGCATCCTGTCGAAGCCCACAGTTTCCGAAGTGAGGAGGAAATATTACTGTATTTATTAGTTTTGTGTTTCAGGTATGATTCTGTATGTCCATATGTCCATCAGTTTACACTGTAATGATGCTTACAAACTCGCACTGTGCTGCGAATCGGTCTGTTTTAACCACGTTGGGGCAGTCGTGGCCTGATGGTTAGAGAGTCGGACTTGTAACCTGAAGGTTGCAGGTTTGAGTCTGTACCAGCAGGGACTGTAGGTGGGGGGAGTGAATGGCCAGTGATCTCTTCCACCATCAATAACATGACTGAGGTGCGAACCCTTGAGCAAGGCACCGAACCCCCAAATGCTCAGCAAAAATAGCTGCCCTCTGCTCCAGGTGTGTGTGTGTGTTTTTTCACTACTCGCTGCTGTGTGTGTGCATTTGAATGGGTGAAATGCAGAGCACAAATTCTGAGTATGGGAGACCATATTTGGCCACACATAACGTCCTTTCCTTTCCTTTTGTAAATTACTGGCATTTTGCAGTACACCAAAGCAAACTCACATCGTCTACCACAGACTGAGAACTAGCTTTGCTCAACTGTGTTGATGTTTGTGTTTGGACTGGGCCTAAGATGTCGAATTTTTGTGAAGAATATGTCGAAAAGTCTCCAGTTTTTCCTGAACAAATTAAACTAATTAAAGTAAACTAATTTGCTGCTTACTAATAGTTAGTACGGTAGTTGTCAAGTTTAGGTATGGGGTAGGATTAAAGGATCTAAAATATGGCCATGCAGCATAAGGCATTAATATGTGGTTTATAAGTACTGATAAACAACAATATGCTAGTAATATGCAGCAACTAGTTAACAGTGAGTATTGGTCCCTAAAATGAAGTATTACCATGAAGTTTGATGCAACTGATATTACTTGAAGAAAAGCTATAGAGCTGCACTGCAGTTTTAACCCATCAGTTTTTACCTTGGGATGTTTATTTGCAGGCTGACTAGTTTTTGATTGATTACATTTTGAGAATAAAATTAGGGGAATCTAATCCCAGTTTCTCAGACAGCACCTGCAAATTTTACTTCTTTGCAGCCATAGTCCTGATTTCCTCCTAAAACTGTTGAAGATGAAAGCAGAATGTCTCCCAGGACCGGTGTGAAGACAGAAAGATTCTGTCAGGGTTATGCGGACAGATTGACGTCTCTGAAGCCGACAACAATACCCCTTCCAGGCGTTTCTCAAGGCTCTATTAGTTTGTTATTTAGATGTGCCATTCTCTATTGTAATAGATGTGGGGAAGTGTCAGACATATCTTAAATGAGACTTTCATGGTGAGATGGGTATCTCTGCAAATAGGGTCAGCTTGCCCTTGCTGGACAAATAAGTTGGAAAATGCAGCAGAAAGCAGTAAGATTTCGTTATCATCTGGCTGTTTCACAGGCCAGTGGCTGTTCTTTGAGGCTTTCCACAACAATGAAAATGATGTAGTTTAGTCTCATTGGAAAGTAACATTCATTTTGTTCTCAATTTTTATGCCCAGATCACTGCATGACAATAAAATCAAGATCCTTCCAGAAAACACCTTTCATTATCTTGGATCTTTGGTTGAACTGTGAGTATCGCAGCACATAATCTGGAAAGGATATGAAATCTTGGGATTTGAGAGTGATAACTTTGTTTAAATGTTATGCACTGACATCCTAATTGAGATCTCTTTCTATGCACATGGATTTCACTTTTCTAACTGATGTATTTGTTTCCCCTTCTTAATATTTTTTAGAGATTTGTCTTGTAACAGAATTTCCGATCTTCCTAAAAACACTTTCAGGAGTTTACAATATCTGCAGAAACTGTGAGTCATGCACATATCAAGTCACATCGTTTATTTCAAAAGTGTTGAATTGGTCAGTGCACACAATGCAATAAACAGCACCACAATACTATTAAAATAAAGTTTTTTTAAAGGGATATTTCACCCCAAAAGGAACAATTCTGTCATTCTTTCACCCTCATGTCCTTCCAAGCCTGTGTGCTGTTATTTCTTCCATGGAACAAACAAGTCTTCATTTGAGAGCTATCAACCTCCCAAAAAAAAGCACAATAAAAGTATTCTAGCTGTATTTAGAGCCTCACCACAGATCACCTAAGCTCATTTGTAGCATACATCTGCATTTCAATCAAAAATGGTGTGTTGACATTATTGATGCCAAAAAACTGATGGTCTTCAGAAGACTTTGAATTTAGCAGATGAGTGTTTCATGTCCTTTTTTTACCTTTACAAATTCTGTTTAAAGAAAAACCGATTTGGAATTAGATCAGGAAATAATCAGAATTAACATTTTTGGCTGACATATTCCATTTAATTTTGCAGGAACATATCCCATAATCCTTCACTCCATATTCATGCCAGCTACTTCGATCACCTAGTCCAACTTCAGTCTCTGTAAGTATCAGCACTGCATGATCTGTTTTTCAAAAGAATGTCTTTTAAGACCCTATTAGTAGGTGTTACATGAAATACAACATTCATGTGTGTTTAACAGAAGTTTGGAGGGCATTGAAATTCCTGATATAACCACCAAGATGTTTCTTCCCATGGGGAACTTGTCCCACATGTATGTACCTCTCATTGTGTGGTCTGCTTATTAAGCTGCATAAGCAGGATGCTCAGCTATAATGTGTTATTTGTGCATTTCTCTTTTTTTTATTTTTTAGATATTTTAAGGATTTTCAGTATTGTTCCTATGCCCCACATGTTCGGAAATGTAAACCTAATACAGATGGCATTTCATCAGTGGAAGACCTGTTAGCCAGCCATGTTCTGCGGGTGTCCGTCTGGGTTATGGCCTTCATCACCTGCTTTGGGAATCTCTTTGTTATCGGAATGCGCTCCTTCATTAGAGCAGAGAACAACCTGCATGCAGCCTGTATCAAGGTCCTGTGTTGTAAGTACAGCTGAAACTGTTGATAATTTTGATTACATTGAATGCAAAAATAATAATAATAAAAATAATAAGAAGATGATGACTTTGGATGATGCCAGCCTTGGATTGACATACAAAATTGTCAGATACTAGCCTTATATTGTAGTCATTATGATCACAAGCTGTAATCATCTAACATATTCATTATGTCTGCTTAAATGATTACATGATGCTAACACATAACTTGTATTACCTTATAGCTACTACAACCATACAGATATTATTCTGACAAATAACAGATTACTTCCTGAGTGTAACAGTGAAAACATACTTTTTGTAAAGCTGCTTTGAAACAATATGCATTGTGAAATCACTCTACAAATAAAATTGAAATGAACTGGATTAATAATAATAATCCAGTAACTTCATTACAGGTCAGTCTGGTTTTTGTTCTGTAAACTTCATATATTTAATTAAAAAGTGCAATTTATTATTATTATTAATTTTATAATATTTTTAAATGTAACTTATTTAAATAAGACCAGACTAATTAATAACGAAATTAGTTATTATTGTATTATTATTGAGTTATAATTCAGCTATATTTAACAATCTAATATATAGATAATAATAATAATTATTATTATTATTATTCGTAACTTGTTGCAACCAACACAAATGCAAGCACTCACACTGTCATCTGTCTGTAACAGTATCATAAAAGTCCTTACTATATTTAACAATCTAATATATAAATCTAATATATAGATAATAATAATTATTATTATTATTATTATTCGTAACTTGTTGCAACCAACACAAATGCAAGCACTCACACTGTCATCTGTCTGTAACAGTATCATAAAAGTCCTTATGGCCAGACTTTAAAAAAAATTACTCCAAAAAAGTTTGGCTAGACATTCTGCAATAGCAAAAAAGAAAGAAAGAAAGAAAAAAAATCCTTGGAGAGAAACTATGCCCAGATATGCAGCCTTCATGAATGGGGGTATTAGTGGAAAAGCCAAGGTTAACAATAGGTAAAGGAATTTATCTGAATAGTGGAAGTTGACAGTTAAGCCTATTATGATATGGTCTGCTTTTGTGTCTGTGTATATACTTGTGCATGTTTGATTGTTTGTTCCTCAGCATTTATGCATGCATATGTAATCCTATTAAGAAAGTTTGTCTTCATAAGCTATAGCTCGTTTGAATGTTATATGCATTTTGGAACTTATTTAAAGGGTAAAGTTACAGACTGTTCCACAGTCCGATCACTTCCTGATGTACCGAACAATAAGCACATCTACTAATACTTCAGTAAATCTGTGACAGAGGAAGTTTTTCCAAACATCAAGATAAGGGCACGGATAGGTTATTTTTTTGATACTACATTTGTGACCCTGGGTCAATTTTTCGAAGTTGAGATGTATACATGATCTGAAAGCTGAATAAATAAGCTTTCCATTGATGTATGGTTTGTTATGATAGGACAATATTTGGCCGAGATGCAACTATTTGAAAATCTGGAATCTGAGGGTGCAAAAAAATCTAAATATTGAGAAAATCGCCTTTAAAGTTGTCCAAATGAAGTTCTTAGCAATGCATATTACTAATCAAAAATTACGTTTTGATATATTTACAGTAGGAAATTTACAAATTATCTTCATGGAACATTATCTTTACTTAATGTCCAAATGATTTTTGGCATAAAAGAAACATCAATAATTTTGATCCATACAATGTTTTTTTGGCTATTGCTACAAATATACTTAAGATGGGTTTTGTGCTCCAGGGTCACATTTTTATCATTTGTACATTATTATTAATGATAAAACAATGTAATAAATTAATAAATCTATAATAAAATCTATAATAATTCTTTTTACTTTTTTAAAATCAAGGTAAGAATTCTGACTTAATGTTAGCTAAAGATGGCTTTAATTTATTGTATTACAGCATATTATATATACTGTGAATAATTGAAAGTTTTATTTGCATACATTTAATTATATTAATTATATTTATAAAAAAAAGAAAAAACACTTGACCCTCTATCACCTAAAGATGGATTGTATTACAGCATATTATATATACTGTGAATAATTGAAAGTTTTATTTGCATACATTTCATACATTTAATTATATTTATAAAAAAAAGAAAAAACACTTGACCCTCTATCACGTGCACTCTCTGTTCTATTTCTTGTCTAAATCCTTGCTTTCTTTTTATTTATTATAAAAAATGACCCTCTAACACTAGCATTTTCTATTCTTTTTCTA